TTTAGTGTATTATAAATGTTTCATTACCGAAAGAAGTAAAAATATGCGACAATACTTGTTGACTGCTCGGACGATTTAGCTGCTGTGGGCGTATGTTTCGTTGCCTGGCAACCTATCTTTAATTTGAGTATGACTTAGGTTCACAAGCTTTAGAGTTAATACTAAAGAACTTTGAAAATAATCCCCTATGTCTGGAGAGCACTTTCAAAATACTTGCCATTGGAATTTTAAAATAATGCATCGTCTGCATTCTGTAGTAGTTTATATTCCGGATTCTTGATTGTTAATGGTTTAGGAATGGATATTGATGATGAATATAACCAGCGGCTGCTAGGCAGGATACGCCCATATTTTGCAAGAGATGGATAGAGAACAAACTAAAAACAAACGGGATTTTTTGTACAATCAGGGGCAATAATCCAGAAAGTTAAAATGCGCAAATATCAAAAGGGATTGAGATCTTTGGGATATAAAGATATGTTTTAAGTTTCATCAAAATCGGATCAAAATTGTTAGCTCTAGAGGGTTCACAACCTTCGTATTGCATACTTTTACACAATTTGCGTACAAAGAGCGTCCATTTTGTCGGGCAGTTTCGAAGTCAATCTTCATTATGATGGAATGGTGATATATTTAAACGGTTTTTAAAATCGGAAAATAATGTGACCTCTAGAGAATCCGCGAGCTAAAAATGCCATTTTTCGAACAATCCGGAGCCATAATCCAGGAAGTTACGTTCGGATATGAGCGATTATCAAAACGAACCAAGATCTTAGTGTGTTATTGTGATATATAATCAGGGGCCATAATTCAGGAAGTTACGGTCTGATATGCGCGAATATCAAAAGGAACCGAGATCTTTGGGTTATAAACTTACATTTAAAGTTTCAACAAAATCGGATAAAAATTGTGACCTCTATATGGTCCACAACCTTCATATACCATATTTTTACGCTATTTGAGAACGAACGGCGGACGTTTTGTCCGTCAGTTTTGGGCCAATTTTCACGAAATTCGAACTCAATCGTCCTTAGGGTTTAACGGTGATATAATAATACCTTTTTTTAAATCGGATAAAAATTGGGACCTCTACAGGGACCTCAAGCTAAAAACGTGATTTTTCGTACAATCAGGGGCCATAACTCAGGACGTTACGATCCGATATGCGCGAATATCGAAAGGAACCAAGATCTTTGGATTATAAACTTGCATTTTAAGTTTCATCAAAATCGGATCAAATCGGGACCTCTTAAGGGTCTACCCCCTTGATATGTTTACACTATTTGCGTATGAGAGGTGGCCATTTTGTCTGGCCGTTTTGGTCAAATTTTATGAAATTCGAACTCAATCAAAATTATGGTGTAACGGTGATATATTCGAACGTTTTTTTAAATCGGATAATAATTGTGACCTCTAGAGGGACCACAAGCTATAAACGTGATTTTTCACACAATCAGGGGCCATAATTCAGGAATTTATGATCTGATACGCACGAATATCGCAAAGAACCAAGATCTTTGGGTTATAAACATGTATTTCAAGTTTCATCAAAATCAGAAGACAATTGTCACCTCTAGAGGCTCCACAACCTTGATTTGAAGTTGTTTAATTTATGGGCTAGAATATCCGAAAAACACATTTGCGGCCGTCAAATTTTCCAATTTTTTTCGGGGATTTTGGATTCAGGTAAGTCCCCTAAGGTAGGCTATATTGGACCACCGTCGTCTGTAACCAGAAATGTTATGAATAAATTGAAATGATATCACTAGATTCATCTTGGTAAGGGGATACCGGTGAAACACCCTTCATAAAAGGCTGCTGGTTATTACAAAAAAAAGAAGTCACGTCATGATCCAAATGTATAAAAATTATTTAATATTGAATTACACCAGCCATATATTTATCGTTGATGTTATACATACGTATACAATTTCACACACCGTCTACTTTATATTATATATTATTATTTACATACTTATTCAACAAGGACGTTACTCAAATATTTAGTTCATTTTTACACATGTGACAGCGTTAATAAAGAGCATAAAAAGGTCTGACTATTCATTTTATTCTTGCAAACCAGTGAGGTGTTACGATAGACACTAAAATATGACGTCAAGTGTACAAATACGGTCCCAAATACCTACGCACTATCTATTTATATGCCCTATTATATTACTGTGTCGAAGTCGGCTGACCCAACATACAGGATGTGGATAGATATGTCATAAATATGGCATAGATTTCCGCGAAAAAGAGTCAGTAGGAGATATAACATAAATGTTTTAAATGAAAAGTATAGCTGAACATACTATTATTATATTTATACAACAAAAAGCACATTATTGTTACATAGCCCAATTCATAAGAGAATAAAATAAAAGATGCACCAGATAAAAGCGCTATTAAAGATATTTAACTTGCATACGCTTTTAAAAATCAGATTAATCTACACAAATTTGAATAGGCTAAATGGAACAATAGAGCAGCAAGTTCGCCTTGATGTTGAAAAATACATAAGACGACAACATAGACGATTAATATCTACATTCAAGTTAAACCAACTGTATCTATTCATTTTATGTCTTAGGTCGTCTTGAACAAATTATGATTGATAGGTACAGTGTGTATCTAGAATTTTCTACACCAAGTCTATTAAATCCAGATATTTAAAACGCGTTAACAATATATCCCTTTAAGAGAAACTATGTCATTTCTGGATTAACATATCGTACAATTCATATTCATTTGGCGATCGACGTCCTATTTACAAAACTATGGTTTATCCCAACTACAGTGTAAACATGGTTAAGAGACTCTTATCTGAACTACAAGGTACATTATGTTTTAGAGACTACAGATTAGATCATGGTTTAGAGTCCCTGCCTGAAATAAAGGGTACATCGAACTACGAGGTACATCATGATTTAGAGACTCTATCCGATCTACAGGGTACATGATTATTTAGAGGGACTCTATCCAAACTAAAGGATACATCATGGTTTAGCGACTCTATTCGAACTAAAGTATTCATCGTGGTTTTGATATCCTCGACCACCGGTCCGTCCTGGTAGCATCAAGGCCAATAGTTACGACGGGTTTATTTCTGTCTGTTATTCATTTCACGACAAGTTCTTGTGATTGCCACAGTAGTACAGTGTTTCACAAGCAACAGACACTAGGCGATAGAGGGTCCCTGAATTTGGGGGTACGGTGGGGTTCTCTCCTTGCTTTTATAATTTGTCTTCATGTTTCTAGCTTACGCACAAATTTGATGTGTGACAATCCTATCTTAAATCAATTTTTGAACCCAATATTGGATTCAGTAACCCTAAAAAAATCGACGGTGACCTTTAAGAGGGGACCTCAGTGAAGGGGAAACAATCATGTTGCTCTGGTGCTGTTCGCAACCATATATCGTACCTGAGATTTGTTACAAATCGCCTCTACCATGTTTCACACAACCCAACATTTATCGGCACCGGGATTAAGGGTATATATCTTTATTTTTAACGCTTATTGGGAACACGTCACGGAAACTACAATAAAAACATGTTTACAAACACATTCTAAAGAGTGAAAACTAAACTGACATATTTCAAGCTTTACTGCATTCAAAGAAACAAATTAAAATCAGCCGACTGAAACCCCATCTCTGCTATTTGTTCATTCTTTAGGTATAGTGCCCGTTTCCACCGAAAATGATATCGCAAACAAGTGTTCAATCTATAAAAGCATACTTTCCTACAAAATGTTTCTTTAGTCAAGTGAAACAAGAAACTTCATAACTATGCGAGTAAATTCGTGGTAACAAGTCTGAATAGGCTAATGGGACAATAGAACAAGGTCACCTTGATGTTGACAATTATGTAAGACGATATGAACATCAACTAAAAGATATGTAACATGATTCAGCTGCAAGGTGATATATGCATATATGCAGCATTGATAAATAAAATCTCTTATTCAAGTTAAACCAACTGTATCTATATTAAGTCTTACGTCGAGCAGCCATTATGAAAGAAATGCCCGGCACCATATGAAAAATACATTTTTTTAAATTAATGTTTGTCAAAATCGATTTTTCGGCACATTACGCTTGCACAATCACTCTGTTTTTTGAGGAATTTAAAAAGAAATCATTTATCCCCACCCCCACCCCCACCAGTAAATAGTAAAACACACTGATAACGAGGTATCTCTCTCAGAAAATTCCCCGATTTGTAGTATGATTTTGTCTGACATATTTATCACTGAACCAAACTGGATTGGTGTGGTTTTTTGGGGTTTTTTTTTAGGGTAAAACGTTATCCCTCAACGCCTAATACTGCAAGAAAAAATGAAACGTTTTGGTAAGTAAAGCTGTATGACGCCATAACCTCCTAGCTTTTATGGCATCATAATTGGGATCCAAAATGGCGCCTGGAAATGAGTTGTCGTAACTTTCACTATATAGGCTCTCTAGAACCACAAGTCAATATTGAAGTGGGCGTCGATCGATCAACATGCCTCCCAAAAAATCAAGGAAAGTTACAGGAAGGGGCCGGCCTAAGCAATCTTCATCCTTACCACCTCCACGCCCACCCTCGTTCCCATCTTCATAGCTCACCATCATTCTGACGATGATAGCCAATATCGCCCTCGTGCAGGATCCAATGCTTCCTCAGTAGTGTCTGTAGCGGAATCCGAGGCCTTGGCGTCTTCTCAAGCCTTTACCGACAAGCAGGCCTCGATCTGCTCTCAAGCCCCAAACGGTTAACACATGGTTAAATTTTATTTCAATAATTCACTTGCGCGTAGGGGTCTTTAGCAGGAAACTGGAGGACACGTAGAAAACCCACGAGGTAGGACAGGGGACTCTACTACTTGTCACGTCATGTACAACCGGGGAATCGAAACCACGCCAGTTGACTCAATGACAAACCTCATGATACAGCACGCACGTGCTAACCATTCAGCCATCCAACCCCCGGTGTTAATGGAATAAATAAAATACTTACCACAAAGTTCGTATTGTTAGCAATAACCCAGTTAACATTGATGGTTAGATTTACGTAAAGTTTACGTCATTATGGTTAGATTATGGTTAGCGTCCAATAATGGTAAAATTCTTTGGTTAAATTTACGTTACTTTTACGTCATAATGGTTATGGTTACTTTTACGTCAGAAAATGACGTAAATGTAACGTAAACTTTATGACGGATTACTAACCAATTTTTTTCCCTTTGAATACTTCTTGATTAAATAACATTACAAGTGTGTGCACATTCTAACAATTGATATATAGTCGGAATTCAGACATAATAATTATATATGTATTATTGGTTATAATTCTAACGTTAATCTAACGTAAATTTTACATCAGGTTTCTAACCGTTAGTTTATGGTTAGTTTTCTGACGTAAATCTAACGTTAGTTTTCTGACGTAAATCTAACGTTAGTTTTCTGACGTAAATCTAACGTTAGTTTTCTAACGTTAATATAATGTTAGTTTTCTAACGTTAATGTAATGTTAGTTTTATGTCATAATTTTAACCGTTAATTTAACGTTAGTTTTCTAACGTAAATCTAATGTTAATTTTATAACATAAATCTAACTTTAGTTTTCTAACATAAATCTAACGTTAGTTTTCTAACATAAACCTGATATTAGTTGTAAAACGTAAAACAAATGTCAGTTTAATGTCATGATACTAACAATTAAGGGCCTGACAAGACAGCTGTCTAGTCATTAAAATGGGTAAGACCCTGGCTCGCTAGCCTGGAGGTCGGGTGTTCGATCCCTGCATTGGCCGAGAAAGTTCATCCAGATTTCCGGCGTGGTTTCCCCTTGTCAGTGATGCAGGACGGAGAGCCTGACAAGGACAGCTGTCTAGTTGTTCAGATGGGATTAAAAAAAAAAACGAGGTCCTGTGTACACATTGGCATGCATGTAAAAGATCCCTTGACAGTTGGAATTCGATATAAGAGTAGGCCGTAGTGCCACTGTCGGGGCAAAATTTCCCTCATAACACACTGTATGGTGTATGGCCATCTTCATTAGCCCAGTTCGGAGCAGAACAGTTGGACGTTAAACCCCATTTCATTTCATTACATTTTGTATCCATTTCTAAGTGCCCAAGATTAGAGATCTAGCTCCTTTAATAGTTGCGGTCTCTAGGTGACACACAAAGAGAAAACGAATGAATGAATGATCTACTCTCATTTCAAATTCCAAATGTCAAGGGTTCTTTTACGTGCACACCCACGTGATGGACTAGACACTGTTTTTTTGAGGTCCTCTGTCCTACACCACTACTAACAAAGGGAACTTTCTCGACCAACATGGGGATCACGTTGGCTAAGTGGGTAAGACGCTGACTCGCTAGCCTGGAGGTCGGGTGTTCGATCCCTGCATTGGCTGAGAAAGTTCATCCAGATTTTTCTGCGTGTTTTCCCCTTGTCAGTGATACAGGACGGAGGGCCTGACAAGAACAGCTGTCTCGTCAGGGATGAAAAACTGAGGTCACGTGTACACACAGGAGTGCACATGAAAGATCCCTTGGTAGTTGGAACTTGATATAAGAGTAGGCCATAGCGCCGCTGCCTGGGCAAAATTTCCTTCATAGCATACTGTATGGCGTATGCTCATCTTCATTAGCTCAGTTTAGGAGCAGAACCCCTCATTTGCTAGCCAGTGTGTTACTAATTACTAGAGAGAGAGAGAGAGAGAAATGGGGTTTAACGTCTACTCGACACAAACTAGGTCATTTCGGGACTAACATATGGTTTAATTTTTATTTACATAATTCGCTTGCGCGTAGGGGTCTTTAGCAGTGGGAGAAAACCGGAGGTTGGACAGGCGACCCTACTCCTTGTCACGTACAACCGGGGATTCGAAACCACGCCAGTCAACTCAATGACAGACTTTATGATACAGCGCCCGCACGCTAACCATTCAGCCATCCAACCCCCCGTTACTAATTACTAAGTTTGTGAAATGTAGGTTTTTCCTCATGTAGGTTTGTCCTGATGAAATCGGTTTATTGTCCTACTGTTCTGCTCCGACTGGGCTAATGAAGACAGGTACATACCATACAATGTGCTATGAGGGAAATTTTGCCTACTAATATCGAATCCAACTGCCAAGGGATCTTTTCGTGCAAGCCAATGTATACATGGTACCTCGGTTTTTTGTCCCATCTGAGTGACTAGACTACTGTCCTTGTTCCTGCACCTCTGAAAAGGGGAAACCATGTCGGAAAATCCTGATGAACTTTCTCCACCAATGCAGGGATCGAACACGTGCCCTCCGGATTACCGAGCCAGCATCTTACGCACTTAGCCACCATGGCTTTATCAAAATTAGTAATGAAGATGTGCTATGACAGAAATTTTGCCTGGACAGCAGCATTACCGCACTTACTAATGAAGAAGTGCTAGGAAAGACATTTTGCCTGGAGAGCAGCATTTCCACATATAGTCATTACCAATAGTTCTAAGTGCACGCCAACCTGTAAAACATGTCTTTACACACTTTTCCATCATTACCAATTACTAGTCTGCGGGTTCACTAGTCTGTGGGTGCACTAATCCGTGCATTCACTAGTCCACTAGTCTGACTCTATAAAATACTATAAATATGAGTATTAAAGAAACCCAGTAGATATGGTGACTGATATCACCCTTCGTGAGGCGATAACCCAACATCACGGCATTTTAACCCGAAATCACAACATTTTAACCATTATAGCATATGCCCTTCTTCATTAGCCCACTTGGAACAAAATAGTAGGATGTTCAAACCCCATTTAAAATTCATTTTTATACTTTTCTGAACCAATCGGACTATTGAAGATAGTCATACGCAATGCAGAGTGCTATGACGGAAATTTTCTATGGACTGTGGCAGGGCGGAGGATCTGGCAAGGGATAAGGTATAGTTGTTCGGGTCATACGAAAAATCAAGTCCTCGTGTACATATTGGCATACACGTAAAAGACACTCCGACAGTTGTAATTCAATATCAGAGTAGGCCATAGTGCCGCTATCCGTGCAAAGTTTCCGTCATAGTACACTGTATATAGTGTATGCCTGTCTTCATTAGCTCACTCAGAGCAAAACAGTAGGATGTTTAATCTCATTTAATTTTATTTAATTTTCCTACTTTTCTGCACCAATGGGACTATAAAAGATAGGCTGGCAAGCGGACGAGTGCACCCATTGACTATTGAGCATCATTTACTTGAAAACGTTGAGAGAACCCTCAACGAAATGTCGCTTTAATTAAAATAGTAATTGTGTTTTTTGTTGTATCATCGAGTCAAGTGAACGTTAAACCCCATTTCTCTCTCTCTCAATTTTGATACCCAAAAATTTGACAAAACAAATAATGATTGATTGTCGGAAACTGTTTCATAAAGCAAAGTTGTTCTCTACTAAAAGGTTATCACTGTCCAAATGTTAGGAGTAGTCCACACCTAGGCCGACTATGCATGAAGTGTTTTTATAATTAAATTTATTAAATATAGTACCTTGCATCAGTAAATATAAAATTAATGATCCTTTCACCAGTAAATATAAATTAAAATTACCCGATTTGATTTTTCTTATAATATAACGTAATCATGTAACCTCATATAAAATATGGTAGAGCGTATACAAACAAATAATATGAATAGATTCATTATCAGAAATATTACAGGCCTTTCAAACGAACAGTCGCCATTTTTAGACCTAAATACATGTAGATGTACAAATATATTTTTATCGTCTCGGGCAAGGTCAAGGTCACGATCTGTTCACGGTTGATGATTGTGTTTAAATCGGTTTATATCATATTATTTCTATTCACATTACAATATTTTTTTTATAGGTTACGGTTATTGTTGTTATTTATCAAAATTGCTTCAATTATTTATTAAATATTTTTTGTTTGTTCGTTTGACCGGAACGTACGGAATTCTGGGATTTAAAATGGCGGCATAGCTTATTATTTTTCCCAAAGAAGAAATGATGCCGTGATTTAAAGTTAAATAAAGCTATTCCACACATACACACACGATTTTGGATTCAGCAAAGTAAAGTTGAAGGTAAGTGCACTTTTTATGCGAACTTCCGTTGACAGTATACCGATAGATCTAATGTTCATAAAAAAATAATCTGGCCGTGGAAAAAGTTTGCACGCAACTTTGTATATCAGACAGTCAGTATTTGTTTTTAACACGATGCAGTTACATTGTCCGTAAACCATACTATTCATAAACAAAATCAACATTGCTTTAAGTTATCGAAAGTAATACTGGTTCCAAAATTGTTTTTAAAAAATCTGGATCCAAAAATTATCAAACACATAACGAATTTATTAATGATGTAGACTGTTAAAATTCACAATTCAGGCTGTGCTAATTATAATATAAGTACATGTAGTATTTTCTAAACATTTTTATGGGTGTTTCAGGTTGGGTTTTTTTGTTGTTATTGTACTGATATTTTTGCAAATTTAATAATGCATAATGCAAGAGCTAAATCTATATATTGTACGTAGGTTAAGTAGGTATTTCTTGAGACTGTAAATGTTAAATTTTTTTATAAGACATTTTAATGTATTAACTTGCTAAGTCTATAATCAAGTCTCAATGCCATCGGGTGCTCGAGATGTTCACAGATTCAAACACTGGCGGTTAATGTTAATGATTTAATTTAATTGAAAAATGAATAATCAAGACTTTAAGCTTATATACATAGGCCTATTTATATGATATAACATTAAATAACAAGTTTGCCCGTACATACTTGTACATAAAGGTTTCAGTCCTACTCCCCTGCTTATTTATTCTTGTGGTGGCCAAGAAAGTTCATCAGGATTTTCTGGCATGGTTCCTCTTTTAACTGGTGCAAGACAGAGGGGCTGGTAAGGGCTAATGTACAGTTGTTCGGATAGGACAAAAAACCAAGCTCTTTTGTACACACGGTCCAGTCAAAATTTTCATCATAGCACACTTTCAAGCATTTGTCCAACTTCTTTAGCCCAGTTTGAGCAGCACAGTATGATGTTGAACCCCATTTCATTACAGATCCACAGTAGGTTGGCTGTCAGCCCAGTTGGAGCTGAACAGTAGGCCGTTTAACCCAATATCGTTTTTTTGGGGAGTATAAAGTTGCTTTTTATTTATTTATTTTTTTTTTTTACAGATCCTACATGTATATTTGAGCACCCGTGGTGGCAGTAATGACAAAGAAGTTCTAAAAAGATTTATATGGGCTTTATAATGAAAGTTAGACAACACTACTACTTGCCAAACACTACTACTTGTCACATAATGTAATGATATAAATATATATGTATCTATGGTAGCACAAATATCATCAGAATGTAGGCCAAAGCTTTACAAGCATTGTAGGCCTAAAATACTTTCTGTCTGAACTTTTGACAGTCAATTCTTTGATGACTAGTTAGTTTAGAGCAGATATCCTGTCACAGTATTATATAACAGCTCTTTGGCTTAAAATTTAAACTGAGTTGTATCAGTGAGTTGAAAATCATCTGTGTTCCTGTTATTGCTCCCTGCTGCAGCCAGTAAACAATAACCTTTTGCGTTCCTTACAAATCTTCCAATTTTTACTGATAGATCAACCATAGCAAAGATCTCTATTAAGATTATATTTGTAATGTGTGTAACAAATTCTATGACATAGGTATAATATTGGTGTAGTTAAGTATATACCATATTTATGCACACATTTCAATATTGGCATATTATTAGTCTCTATCATCTAGAAAAAAATATTCTATATTCTACGATTATTAGTGTGGTTGCGTTGTCAACATTTGAGAATAATCGGTCATAGGCTAGATTATCCGGTCTTTTACATTATCATAAACAAAGTCTAAGGGAGGTAACTAGTCCTAAAACAAGATGTTGACGCCCATGAAATTTATATAAGAATGCCATTTCCGAAAATCCATTTGATTGCATTGTCAGTTCAATATCCAACACTCTTAATTTTTTTTATTGTAAAATTTCTCTCTTCATGGGCCATATATATGTTGTTTTTTTTATTGAATCCTAATTCGTCATCACTATTCATGTTTGTTTATAAATGCAAGTGTTATTGACAACTGTCCCAGACCCTCATTATTTATATGGCCCAACTTTTCTTCGGGGTACACCGGCACGGTATTAGACTAGGATAAACATTAGTCTTATATACCGCCTCTACTTAATTATGGATGTAGGTCGGAAAAATGTAAAATTTGGCAATTTGACTTATACTCAACATCGACTTATGCTATAACTGTTTCAAATGACAAGTGCTAAATGAAGTATTTATGTGGTCTTTGGTGAAAGAAATGAAATGAAATGGGGTTTAACGTCCTACTGTTCTGCTCCTAACCTGGGCTAATGAAGACGAGCATATGCCATACAGTGTGCTATGAGGGAAATTTTGCCTGGGCAGCGGGGCTACGGCCTACTCTTATATCGAATTCCAACTGCCAAGGGATCTTTTACGTGCACGCCAATGTCTACACGGGACCCCGTTTTTTTGTCCCATAACGACTAGACAGCTGTCCTTGTCAGTCCCTCTGTCCTGCATCACTGACAAGGGAAACCACGCCGGAAAATCAGGATGAACTTTCTCGGCCAATACAGGGATCAAACACCCGACCTCCAGGCTAGCGAGCCAGCGTCTTACCCACTTAGCCACTTGATCCCCCCTTTGGTGAAAGAGAGAGAGAGAGAAATGGGGTTTACTGTCCACTGGACACAAACTAGGTCATTTCGGGACTAACATGGTTTAATTTTTCATTTACATAATTCGCTTGCGCGTAGGGGTCTTTAGCAGGGGGAGGAAACCGGATGACCCGGAGAAAACCCACGAGGTTGGACAGGCGACCCTACTCCTTGCCACGTACAACCGGGGATTCGAAACCGCGCCAGTCAACTCAATGACAGACTTTATGATACAGCGCGCGCACGCTAACCATTCAGCCATCCACCCCCCCCCCCCCTTTGGTGAAAGAAAACAGAGCTGTGGCTAGTGAAATGAAAGTTTAACGTCCTACTGTTTTGCTCTGAACTGGGCTAATGAAGATGGGCATACGCCATACAGTGTGCTATGTGGGAAATTTTGCCCGGACAGTGGCACTACGGCCTTCTCTTATATCGAATTCTAATTTCAAGGGCTCTTGTACGTGCACGCCAATGTGTACATGGGACCTCATTTTTTTGTCCCATTTTAATGACTAGATAGCTGTCTTGTCTAGCCCTCTGTCCTGCATCACTGACAAGGGAGAACCACACTGGAAAATCTGGAGTAACTTTCTCGGCCAATGCAAGGATCGAACACCCGACCTCCAGACTAGATAGCCAGTGTCTTACGGACTTAACCAACGTGATCCCCGTTGTGGCTACAATTCCTGGATTTGAAGGTCAGGTATGATATGAAACGAATATTTTGAACCAATGCAACCAATCTGTGACGGGTTAACTGATAGAGGGTTACATCCTTGATATAAATATACTTGTCGCAGGTTTTAAAAATAGAAAGATATATATAAAGGTAGCTCAAAATTCATCTCTACATATACATAGGCCAAGGGGGGATCATGTGGCTAAGTGGGTAAGACACTGACTCGCTAGCCTTGAGGTCGGGTGTTCGATCCCTGCATTGGCCGAGAAAGTTCATCCTGATTTTCCGGTGTGGTTTCTCATTGTCAGTGATGCAGGACGGAGGGCCTGACGAGGACAGCTGTCTAGTCGTTTGGATGGGAAAAAAAAAACAAGGTCCAGTGTACACATTGGCAGTTGGAATTCGATACAAGAGTAGGCCATAGCACTGCTGCCTGGGCAAAATTTCCCTCATAGCACACTGTATGGCGTAACCTTTTGCGTCTCTTCAAAATATTTCAAATCTTTTGTCATGGATCAACCATTGCAAATATCCGTGTTACAATTATATTTGAAATGTGTTAAACCAATTCTGCAACACATGTAATATTGGTGTAGTATATATCTTTGTTTATACACCCACATATCAATTTTGGCCCTGTTTGTCCGTACACTGGGTGTGAAATGTGAATCATTCCGATTGTGAGAGGACAAGCATTATCAATATACAGCTTTTCAGGACTTTGCCTTCCTTGGTTAATTCTCCTTTTTTCAAATGCAATAGATGCTGTCTTTATTCTTAATTGATCTTTTTCAAATTTGTGTTACACACTGGAATCATGAGAGGACGAAACCTATCAATATTCAGTATTCCACAACATTCCATTCCAGTGTCGGCCGAGAAAATTCTTCGTGATTTCCAGACTTGGTTTCCTCCCCTTGTCAGAGGTGCAGGACAGAGGGCCTGACAAGGAGGGACAGCTGTCTAGTCGTTTGGAAGGTACGAATGACCGAGGTCCTGTGCACACATTGGTTCGCACGTGAAAGATCCCTTGGCAGTTTGAATTCGATATAAGAGTAAGCTTTAGCGCCGCTGTCTGGATAAAATTCCATAATAGGACACTGTATAGCATATTTCCATGTCATTAGCCCTGTCGGAATAGGACATTAAACCCCATTTCATTTCACTCATTCCAAAGTTAACTCCTATTCCATCAATACCTTGAGCAAATAAGATAGAGGCTATAGGTTTTGGCCCAATTTGGTCAATATCCCAGTTTTTTCTTTCTTATATGCATATCAACACTTTCATAGCGCTAATGTAGACCTTTTTCTTGAACATTTTCCCTTGTCAGTGATGCCGGACAGAGGACCTGACATGGATGGCTGACTAGTCATACGGAAGGGACAAAAAAACCCAAGGTACAGTGTATACTCAAGTGTGTGTGTGTGAAAGATCCCTTGGCAGTTGGAATTTTATATAAGAGTACGCCATAGCTCTGCACACTGTGTGGCATATGCCCGTCTTCATTTCTCAAACAGCTGTGGATAAAAACTGTTAATATTTAAATGTGTATTTTGTATTTTATAACATTATATTTTTGTCTTTTAAATAAAGTATATGTATACATACTTGTAGTATATTTTGTCATATAATTCTGCTAGATTTTTAACTTTTCTGTGCAATACATTTAGAATTCTGACTGGTTATGGGTAGATAGAGAGCAGTGGGGTAAAACATCCAATAGACATAAACTGTCCTTTGGGACTAAGTGATTCAATTCAAGTTGAATAATTCATCCGCACCAGGAATCTTTAGTAGTAGGAGGACCCAGAGAAAACCCATGTTCAAGTTGGGTGTGGAAAGAAACCACTTGACTCAATGACAGACCTTATGATCTAAAGCGCACACGTTGGACCACTCAACTTTTAGCCTCACCCACGGGTCAGGAAAATTTGATTATTGGTTGAATGTACTTCCCATTTACTGCGGCGAATAATGAATAATTTTGAAGGTTTTAATGCTCATCAAAATTTGACATTAGAATTGCATCCGTAAATGATGTTAATTTAATGTTAGATTTACGTTATAATGGTCGGTTAGATATCCATCATTTTGCTCATCCTTTTAACGACAATTTAACGTCAGGAAATGACGTTAATCTAGCGTAAAGTTTACGTCATTTTTATGTTATATTTACATCATTTTCTGACGTAAATCTAACGTAAAGTTTACGTCATTTTCTGACGTAAATCTAACGAAATGACGTAAACTTTACGCAAATTTTACGTTAGATTTACGTCAGAAAATGACGTAAAGTTTACGTTAGATTTACGTCAGAAAATGACGTAAATATAACGTAAAAATGACGTAAAGTTTACGTTAGATTAACGTCATTTCCTGACGTAAAATTATCGTTAAAAAGATGAGCAAAATGATGGTAAACTGACTGACCATTTTTACGTAAATGTAATGTAAAATTAACATCATATTGTTATGTGGGAAATTTATAGACTGAACTAATAAATTAAGCTGTTCTCTCTTCATCTACATCCTGGTCGACTGAGAACGCCTTGTATTTCCAAGTAAATGGATTAAAGCAAATCACGTGATTGAGTTCATGCTCTCTTGCACACGACCAATATATGATTAAATTTAAAGGTAGAGTGGCCCGCAGTCTCAATTATTTGTACTATATATAAACTGACCTGTTATATACAGCATGTTGTCACGCGGATCTCACGGGCTCGCTGGTGCACTGTAGGCAGCAAACAGTCGCCCAAAATAGACATTCACGTGACAATATTCATTCACTTATTCATCAATGAAGCCATGTAAAAAATTCTTCTTTACTCTTTGGACTTTTAAATTAAGTAGTTGCGAACTAGATTAAAATTTTGGCTAAAACTCGGCGATTTAATTTCAAAGTTAGTTGATTGAAACCATTGACGTATATATTGTAACGGTTCTCGGTTCAGAGTCAACTCATGTAGTTTCGCCCTTTTTCTATCTTTTAAACCCACTCTCACGGCAACGTACCGACACTGCAAGACTGTGAAAGTTACTTTTATTTAACCGTTACACTCTGTTGTTAGTTGTCGCTTTAGTTAGTTTAGAAGTTACATTGTTGCTAGCTCGAAATACGCAGAAAAAATTTGAGACTGGAAATTAATTGAACGAAATGTATTTTCCCTAGTCTCGATTAACCAGACGTGTATGATTAAAATAAAATTACGATACTGGTCACAAGACTCGAATTCTAATCATTTTAGGGTGCAGCGAATTTGACCTCGGGTTTTGTGTCAAATTTAATAAGAGGATGTGCTATTATGGCTTTATGGCTATGTTTAGTATGCTTATGCTTTCGCGCGTAAAAACTGCATTTGCAATTTCTAACATGGTGATAACAAAACGTTTCAGTTATTATAAATTCAGTAACAACTCATTTTTCTAGAACTGAAATATAACTAAAAAGACTTTCAAGAACAATAGCTATAAAATAGAGATTTCCAGATTGATACATAAAACGACACAACGAACCATTTAGAGGTAATTCAAACACAAAGGATATATTTAAACTTAAATTAATCTAACATTTCACTAAAAGATCCATATTGTAGAACTTCCAATTTATTATGTAGTCATTTTCATGCCGGTTGTTTTTAATAACAGAATTTTCCCGTCCTATAACAGATCAATGAATTTTTCGAGACGCATCACGTATCGACTTCTATTTTTAGATTATCTGACGCCTCAAATAGCCCAACCATATCAAAAAGCATGAATGGGTTCAATTGATTTACGGTTTATTCTATAATTTATAACACAGTTTAGAGTGTAGTACTATAGGACTTCCTCTTGTTGTGTTTATTTTCTGGTGATCTTTAACAAGACTACAGCATAAAATAGTTTCACAACTTTATTTCTAAGTTTACAGGTCACAATTCTATGGAATACAATTATTGCTTTTTACTGAGCGACGTTTCGACTAGGCTTCTTTAGTCATTATCAAGCTATGATAAAAAATGAAAATATGACAGGACAATATATACATGTACACAACAATGCTCAGTTAATGCTGACAAACCAGGGATCTAACTTAATTACGTGTACCTAATGGTAATCTGATTTAATTGAACGCTAATAAGTAATAATACCAATTAACCTAAAAATTGACTAATTGATTAATGGATAAGTTGTTGTGGAGTATACACAATGATTAGTGGGTTTTAATAATACAAACGTTGAAAGAAAATGAAAATTGATGAAATGTTATCAACGACCCCTTTCACTGAAATAAACACATATGATAAAAGAATAGATTGTTGTGGAGTATTTACAACGATTTGATGAGGTTTTGATAATGACAACATCCCAAGAAGATGAGATTTGATTGGTGTTATGACAAAAATAATTGATATGTGCATGTTGATGCGAGTGATTCTACTGATATACGAAAAACCCTTAGAACAATGACTGCACAAATGATCAATGTCCCCTGAAGGCTGACAATTTAAAATATTGAGTGATACTTGACTGGATGTTATAGTGATGTCCCTGGTTTGTCAGCATTAACTGAGCATTGTTGTGTACATGTATATATTGTCCTGTCATATTTTCATTTTTTATCATAGCTTGATAATGACTAGAGAAGCCTAGTCGAAACGTTGCTCAGTAAAAAGCAGTAATTGTATTCCATAGAATTGTGACCTGTATACTCTAGTTCAATTACTAAATGCCATTGAAACAATTTATTTCTAAGTTGTAATGTTCCTCGTTCTCAATGATAATGGCAGCTAGGAATTTCTTGGTAAGCTCTGATCCAGCTCGCTCCCACACCCTAATTTATACACCCTAATTTATACCCCCTAATTTCTGCACGTTTTCGATAGCCGTGACGTTAATTTTCATCCCATATAAGGAATGAAACACTTTATTTCAAACCATAGAGATAGGAGACATTACCTATTTTGGTCTACCAACCAAGGGGTCAATAATCAGCCAGAATTTGATGGATATTTTGACAATGATTATGATTTAACCAAAATTTCACTGGGTTTTTTTATGTATAACTATATATTCTCGTTCATTAAGTACGTAAGACTTGACTCTATAGGCAGAGTGAAGAAATAATTTACCAAAAAACCCAAAATTGTCTCAAGGACCAAAGTGCTACATTTCTCCCATCGCTAAGACATGTTGATGATATAGTAACAACATGGAATAAAAAATATAGGTATTATGGGGAGTAAAAGAAAACTGGAGAACGAAGAAGCCTTGCAAAGGAAATAAAATTACATCAATATAATAAAATTTCATGTATAAAATATTTCAATATATGATAAAAGTTCATCACTGTACTTGAAATTCCGAAAATAGTTCACTTTAATTTAAATACCGTGAAAAAAAAACCTAAAAAAATACCTAAGTCAAATTCAAAAGTTTTTGATTTTTGAAGTGTCCTAATGTCAATCTTGATAACGATTCACACTCATATGGTAAAACACAAAACATAACTGTTTTTAAACGTTCGTCCAATCCTATTCACAATCTGGAAACTAACAATCGTTCCTTTACAGATAGATAATGATTATGAAATATAAGTTCTGCTACAGCACATATCATTCAACAACATCTGACCTAATGAGTTTGATCTCCATAGTTTGTTTGATAATATAAACTCAGTCACCGCGTGTAGTGTCACATATTTGACTTCTGGTTACCACAAAAAGTGAAAGGTTACACCATGTTTAATTGTTAATGACAGTTTGACAGTCAACACAGCTACCATTCAACGTGTAGACTTACGCGTGTCTACTATAACTGACTGGAACTGAACACAGAAAACGAAATGAAATGAAATGAAATGGGGTTTAACGTCCTACTGTTCTGCTCTGAACTAGGCTAATGAAGACGGGCATACGCCATACAGTGTGCTATGAGGGAAATTTTGCCTGGACAGCGGCACTACGGCCTACACGGGACCTCGGTTTTTCGTCCCTCCGTTCTTGTCAGGCCCTCCGTCCTGTACCACTGACAAGGGGAAACCACGCCGGAAAATCTGGATGAACTTTCTCTGCCAATGCAGGGATCGAACACCCGACCTCCAAGCTAGCGAGCCAGCGTCTAACCCACTTAGCCACCGTAAGCCCCCGAACACAGAAAACACTCTGAATAGATATGTCTATATAGATATAAGCATAATAAGGATATATTATATAAGCGCAATACTATATAAGCTGTCGACATACACGCACAAAGAGTCACTGATTAGTGGGTTATTCACCCATAACACATAGAGTTATATAACATACACACATTCAGTGGGTGACTGTTTAACACAACACTTCTTATGAAGTCACACAGAACAACTCCCGTAAATCAGGTACGATGACGTCTTGAGGTAACTTCTCCGGTAATTTCCTTTCCTTCGGAATCCTATTACCAGTACGTTCGGGCGTTGATTGGATAATGGTAGCCTGTGGCTGGATGGTTGCTAATGCATCTTCATCAGTTAACTCGCCCTTTCTAGATAGAGCCATTTCGTCTCTTGCACTGATCTTGGGACGATTTCACAATTTTTCATTCCAAAACAATGGCTTAAGAAAATTTTTAATTTGGAGTTGCGTTTATAGCAACATATAAAGCCAATAAGAATTACCAGTGTTGAACCAATAATTATTAATACATAATACCAAAATGGTCAGGCTTTGTCTTTCTTTAATTGCCTCATAAGTTATCCAATTTATAAATTAAACTTTCCAAAGAAATTTCTCTTAAATGTTCTAATTTTGGTGGTAATTTAGTAATTGTGTAGAAATTCCCACAGAGTGTCTTAAAGTAGCTAAGTCTCTAACTCAATATCATCCAAAATCTTCAACATTGAATACACAAATTATTTGTCAATTTAAATCAACATTGATGTTGTGATCTTACCAGAAAAAGATAGGCTTCTGATATCCAATATTTAAGACAAAATAAACATTTTACCATTGGTACACGAATCGTGTACCATAATGGGTTTCAGCCCCAGTTCTAGCAAGAGACTCGAGGAACTAGGCTAGACATATTGCACCAAACCAAACGGCGTATGTAGACTGGAATAACCAGGCGCTAGAAATTTGCATTCGATTGAGACTGCTGGCTTATTTCGCGGAACATGACTGATTTGAAATTAGAGTAAAAACGGACACCATTGAATGTATTTCAGTTTATATACATTCATATTACAGTATTATACGAGTTGCGACCCACTTGTGTCAATTTCTAGGTCCCAAATGTTAGCGATTTAGCTCCTTTAAGCTTTCTTTTTTTGAATGATTTGATAGTTTTATGAAACAAAAATACAGTCTACACAACGTAGTAACACTTTAATCAGGGGAAATCGTGAGTCTGGTAAGTCCACGAAGTAACACAACTAACTGTTTTTGGCATCCTTAACTAAAATCGCTTCAGTTAATTAATCATTAACGTAAAACAAATCAAATACTCCTAGTAAACTGGCAATAAGTTTTAACAACTTTTTCGTCTTTTTGTTCGGCGATTTTTCAGATTTTGATTTACAATCGCTCTTTATATCGCACTCAAGGACATCCACATCCATGTTGCGT